AATTATCTTAAAAGGATGAATGGCTTTGTCCAGATTAAAAGATGGACATGTAAATTTAAGAAATTTTGCCGTTGTAAGGTTTTTTGCTCTAACTAACATTATTTTCCTGATATCACAGTTAGATAATTTATTCTTTGATCTTTTAAAATATATACACCGATGTAAATTAGCGCATAGTTCAAAAGATGCATTTACGTTTGTCAAGGGACATGTAAGTTGAACATTTACCTATTTTACACTACCTTTCATCTATATGTAACATTGTTTCACTTTCATCTGTTGTTTAACTTTCATCTATATGTTACATTGTTAATGATGCAATTACGTAAAGTGACATTTCTATCTTGTTTTCATCTATTTTTTCTGAAAGGTTTTGTAACGAAACATAAAATGCATTAATTTTTATACAAACGTTTGTTACCGTAACATTGTTTGTTCAGTCTCTCACTCTTCTTTGGTCCACATTTAAATATTTTTGAAAGTCTGGTTTGTGTTTATTCAAAGTCCAATTATGCGTTAGAAATGCTATCATTTTCATTTCTAAAAAAAACTGTTAATCTTTGGTATCGTGTTACATTTGCAAAAAATACTCATTTGCTATATACATGAACTGTCGTTTGCATCTATAGTTCTGTTGGCAATTGGTAAAATTATAGTGATTTAGTTTTCTGTATTGAAGTCAAAATACTATGCAAAGTGACCCATATATAGACGATTTTGACGTGTTGTAATGTGTGCAGTTGTCTAGCAAGATATTCTCATGATATAATTTTTTTTTAAAAATCATCAATATTTCGTGATTTTGAATAGACTGACATTAGAACTATAAATCTCACCACATCCTCCCTGTAAAACATTTTTTCCAAGAGTCGCTTTATATAAAATCTATACAAACCTGAAAGCTCATATAATTATACACTGTGTGTACGTGTGTGCGTGTGTATGTGTTCGCGCTCGTCTTAAAATTCATGTAGTTCCCAAGCAACCTGGTGAATAATTTTGATAAATATTGATAGTAGATAATGTTTCTTTTCAATCGATCCGGAAATTCTAAATATTTACATATCTGATTCATTATCGCTCATTCTATGAAATAACAATGAGGGGATAGGGTAGATTTTAAAAAGCTGATGTATTGATTGTGTGTTACCAGCATTAGATGTCCAGAAATTAAGCTTGTTTTAAAAAGGCGATGAAAGTGCCAACTTAACATCGATCGTTAGTACTTAGGTATCAAAATATGAAATCCGTCATTCCATTATTTTAATTGCTTTACTAATAACAGCTGAATGCTCGATGACAATCGGTGATAAAAACGGACAATATCAATACTTCTTTAACATATTAATAAATCATGAATTTCTATTTGTTTGACAGTGGCATGATTGTATTTATTGTAAAAGAGCATCATATGTCCATCAGCGTTTGTCATATTTGATTTTTCACCGAGGACAAATTCAGTTTGTTATAATGGACGATGTAGTACATTTATAACATTTATCAGTAAAAAAATAAAAAATTCATGCTATGCATTGAAAAAAAATGGAAGCAGAGGTAGCGTCCCGTATTAAATGTAATATCATATGAAGCGTTGTATGTACTGTTAATATTTTTGCGTTTTTTCCAAACTTCAGAAGTATTATTTACTATCGGTCATCGCTCATCTAGCGGTAAGCAACTTTAATACACGTATTTTTATACTGTATGAACAGCAATAACTTGCGGTATTTTTGTCATCAATTCAAATGAACCAAAACTTAAAAAAACAAGGATTTTGTTTTAATTTTAATTTGTATACTGGAAGCCCACTTAATCTGAATAGACAAAACGAGCAAGAAATTCAAACTTCATCACTTATTAATGTAAAAAAATCTAAAAATGGTAGATCAACCGAAATCATCAAAAGCAAATAAACGGTTGAAAATAAAAAGTTTTGTTTTATTGATTCTGTTCATCGAGAAAAACCTCAAATCTTTGACGTCCCCCTAGCGTATTCAACCTGGGCACAAAACGATGTCTCAAATTCAATGCTACAAACGTGTTATGTTTTGTGATTTAAATTAATATAAGGTAGTGTATATCAAACATGTTTTGAAGTGTTATTTTGTGACTCAACTTTTTCGTGACCTGTATTGTCGTCCACTGATTCCCATATTTAATTTTTGAGTTTTTTTACAAATATATTTTGTTGATATAGAAAAACTTAAAAGGGAACATTCCCAAAAGTTTCAGAACAACAACAAAACGATAAGATAAATAGCACACACGTATGTCAATGCAAATTATCTTAGGATGAATGCATATACTGGTTTCCAACAAAAAATTTCTTTTACAGATAACAAAATCAAGTAAAGAAAAAACAACAACAATATTATGAAGATGTACCGGTTTTCATGCGAATGGCGTACAAATGTTGCTTATCATTTTCATATAATTTGTATTGTTTGCTTATAAGAAGAAGATAAAACATTTTCGATGACACTTGTTCAGAGTCACTCCTACGCAATTTTTGCTTTTCTTTCTGTCAAAATCTACAAACTTGCCATAATGTACCAAGTGTATGATTAGATAGCTACACAGGAAGTGTAACTTATCTCAGAAAAATGTCCTTCCCATGAAAATAAGCCCAACCAAGACCGGAAATCAGAGCGGTTTAATTGAAGGCTAAAAACTCGTAACAATCCCATAAAACAGGAGGTAAAAGAATTTGACATCTATAGATTGATATAAGATCATTGATTAATTGATATCGCAACAGTGTAAGGCGCTAGAGCGTAAATTAGAATTTCCTCTTTCGTACACATAAAAGAAGAATGTTTTTACAAGCAATAATTTGGGTTTAAACACCAGGGAATTTATCAAACAGTTGACGTAAATGAATTGTAATCATGGATGGGAGAATGGTATACACCTATAGATGACCTCCTAGTTTTATGGTAATCAAAGTCCTTCATGTCTTTGGAAAGTGTTCCTTGCGTTGTTTTTGTATTGTTTTTTATTTATTTAATTTGTAATTGTGAAAGATCAAATCCTTCAAATAAAATGAAATCAATCGATCAATCAATCAGTAAGTCGGTCGGTCGATCAGTCTGTCAGTCAGTGAGTCAAACAAAGAAAGAAAACAATGAAAGGTGAAAAGGCTTATAATTAATCCCTTTATCTAAGACCTTTGTGCAATTTGAAATAAATTTTCACACGAAAATATGGGAATAAAGGACATGCATTTCAAAGGGCCATGAAATATCATCACAATGATATGAAGAACAAATGGTTTGGGATATGCAGGCAGGTAAAAGAATTTATACCGAGGAAAGGTTTATCGGTTAGACATTTATCAAAGGGAATGATCCTTAATAATGTTGGTATAACTTTTGGTCCATCCCTTGTGTATGTACATTGTATTTATTCTCAAGATAATGATGTTAAATTGTGTAAATTTATCATATACAAAATATACAATAAAAATTTAGTCTAAACATTTATTAAAACATTAGGAAATAGATTAGCAATCAAAATTAAGGTAAAGCAAGGGTAAGAAGTTTGTCAAACTTTAACAAAAAAGTCTGATTATAACTATTTTTATGACAGATGATTGAAATAATAAACTTGGGAATTGAGGTGCATCATCTATTCTTCGTTCTATAACACAATTAAGTAAATAACGAAGAAAAATTAAAACATCTGCGGATGCTTTTGTAAATGTCAAACATAATATTGATTATATCTAAAAGTAAGGCTCTGCTTATCGTCAACAAACAAACAATTTTAATCAATGCAAACCTTTAAGAATTTTAAGTTATTAAGGACTTCAATTTGTTTAGCCGTTTTAAGTGAAGACTTTGCGGATTCGTTATCAATAAGATACAGTGTCCGAAAGTCTAAAATGATAACAATCCTATAATAAAGCTTATCAAATGATGTTTAAATATAAGATGAAATAACACTGAAAATTATATTATCGTCACCTTAGTGCAGTAACGGGTTAACTCCTTATATAATTCAATAGGAATGAACCTGTTACTGCACTTAGGTGACGATTTCTACGAAATGTTTGCTATACATACATGAATAGAGCTATATTGAAGCAAAGTCGATTGTTTATTATAGTGAACTTATTATAGAAATAGGTTCCTTTATATCAACAGACAATATTCAATTTGGCCTGAAGAATAAAAATGTTAAAATTGGTGGCAGAGGTTAATCACGCTCATGTCCAAAGATTCAAAGTCTCCCGTTGCAATGTCAATAGCTTATATATTGAAATGAATGCATCAAATCAATAATATGACACTCAGACAAACATGTGCATAACCTTGGTCCTCTCGGGGGCTATTTTTAAATTATAAATGACTTAAATTATACCAAGGCATATACGTATAGTATAAAATCGAATTCTTAAAAGAGGTCTTTAAATACGACTATACTGAATACCCTTTAAACGAGGTTGTTTTGTTTTTAAATCGTCTAAAATCAATCTCTCCATCAAGGAATTGAAAGACTAGGTTTAAGTTACAAATTGACTCTTTATTGCTGAGAAGCTTTTTTATCATATAATCATATTATCTTCAAGCTTTACGATTGAAATTGTCGTGTCATATACGCAGTTTAAGCAAATAAAATGAACTCTACACCATAGAATTTCATTTGTTTCTTCTGGTTTTCTGTTGCCTTGTTGTCGTTATTGTTTTATTTATTTTTAAATCTTTTTTCATTTGTTTTATGCGTTTTCCCTTTGAATTCTTAAAGCATAAAGCCTTACAGGACGTATTAAAGTTTTTAAACTATTAATAATATTAATAATTATTATTAAAATAATAATAACATGTTTGATTCTTAAGAAAGACTTGACCCATAAAAATGTTGCAACATTTTTTTTAATATAATAAATATGTTCTTCATGGAAAGTATTTAAAACTCATAGCATTTTTGTTGTTGTTGTTTTATTTGTTTTGTTATTTTTAATTTAGACCTATTTAAAGATTTATTTAACTGAGACTTACCCCTTGGATAATGTTGCCACAAACATTATGATCGGTGTGGAGCTCCTCGCTCCGATAATACTGCATTATCATAGAAAAAACACCCGGATGTCGATCAAAAAAGAATTCCCCGCGTTCACTATCCCAAGTGTCGTCTGCTTCTCCAAGAACCGGAAGTAGCGCCAATCTAGTTCCGGGAATTCGTTCCAGAGTGCTTTGAAACGTTTCAAACAGTGTCCCGCCAACATTTATCCGGACCCTCACTTCCGATTTTTTGTTCGTCTCATCGTTAGATCTTTTCTTCTTTATATATTCCATTTTACGAAATAAACAGACACTTTCCTTCTTTCATATTGAAATACCGGTAAAATGAATATGTCACGCAATTTTTAAACACGGTTGGCAAGCCTGAGCTGTTACAATGTAATATCCGCTTTTATGAAGTTATAGCATATTCTTAACAACGGTGTCTTTCGATCAATCTATCTGAGTTTGAATTATTTAAATTGATACCAATTTGATCTATTTCAATAATTACTAATAGCTTCACTACTTGCAAATGAAATGCAAAAATGTCACAATAATTGCTACATGCCCGGGCTGTTATATCAATTATTCATACGCGAACTGAAATTTGAAATTATATGACATATTATTTATTGCCATCGTGGGACTACTCCAGTCCCATTTTTCCATTTAAAGGTAACTTTCATAAAGCAATTTGTATCGCATATCGACAAGCGATTGCCCATTGTTTAACACGGTAGAACGAGGAATTGTATTTTTCTAGTTCGAGGTGGTCGGGTTTCTGTAATTTTCCCTAGAAAATATAATTCCATTATTCCATTAATATTTCACTCTTTTCTGTCATACCAGTAAGTTGCAATGCACTCATTTGATTAATTAGCGTCACCACTACCATTGACACATTGTGGTTCAACCTGGAATATCAGATGACTTCATTAACGTAATAGAAACTGTATGGTAAAAATGACATGTCATAAATTTCTGATTTTTTAAAAAAAGTTTTATTCCGTTGAGATAATGTTGCGGCGTAACTTGATGCGAGTTTGAAAACAACCTTGTCAAAAGTTGTAAACTTTAAGCTTAACGATTATTGGCGTTTAGGATTTTTCTGAGATAAATTACAATGAAATAAGGTTTTCCTAGAAAATAACATAATATATTTAAAATGATCATTTAGGTAAAAGGTTCATTGAGAATAAGAATTGTTTTGATGCGGAGGCGTTTATAATATATATATATATATATATATATATATATATATATATATATATATATATATATATATATATATATATATATATATATATATATATATATATATATATATATATATATATATATGAAGAAATAATGAATTGAATATTCGGCCTGTGTGTGCGTGTGTGCGTGTGCGTGTTTTCACGTGATCGTTCCTTTCTATCATTTACAGTACATATTCATAAACAACCGTAACCTGCTGACTTTATGAGACAGACTTGCTTTGCTAAGAATTTAGAGCAGTCCATTCAATATTTAAGGGGATCCAATATTAAAATACACAAATGAGCCGCGTCATGACAAAACCAACGTAATGGGTTTGCGACCAGCATGGATCCAGACCAGCCTGCGCATCCGCGCAGTCTGATCAGAATCCATGCTGTTCGCTTACAAACCCTATAACAAGTAAAGAAACTGATAGCGAACAGCATGGATCCTGATCAGACTGCGCGGATGCGCGGGCTGGTCTGGATCCATGCTGGTCGCAAACCCATTATGTTGGTTTTGTCATGACACGGCTCAAATTTATTTTACAAAAGGAACGGGCCTGATAAGACTGCACGGAAATACAGGCTGGCCTGAATCTATTCTAGTGGCAAAGGCTGGTCTTTGGCGGTTTATGCAGTTTAAGGGTTAACAAAATAAGTTGAAATTAATGTTTAAAAGGTAAAAAGGACTTTCCATCACATTCATTTTATTCTTTTCTTAAAATCATTCACCTAACAAAAGCATCACCTAACAAAATGTACAATAATACTTTGTTAAGCGAAAAATATTATAATTTGACCGTTGAAAGATTAAAGCTGATCTGTATTGTATCATTTCATTTCTAGAACTTTGCACCATATAACAATGGCTTAAAATTCATTTTCTGTGTTGAATATAATTCAAAATGATTATGACAGAATATTCAGAATTTTAAAACAAAATTATAAGTAAGCTATACTGGTGAGCAGAAAGGCAATTGATAAATTTAAATTGAAATAAAGGAATATCAACGCTTTGAAAAATAAATTTAATGTTCTTAAGGTATCAAAGTATCATTTTGTGTATCAAAAATATATACTGTTTAATGATATTTTATCAGTTATTTAGCTGACCTCTTTTACCCAATCTAATATTATTTAATTACTTATTATTCAAAAAAAAATCAAACATTAAAATGTATCAAATTAATATGATTATAGCTCTGGCAAAGGAAATATTTAAACATTGTTTACGCTTTGTTAAAATAGTAAATGGAAATGAAATATATATTATATTAAATTATATATCAAATGAAGAGAAAAAAAAATTAATTGGTTAACATTCAAATAACCTGTATCAAAAATGTATATTGTGTTTATTGGTTGTTTCCCCCCCCCCCCCCCCACTTAGTTGGCTATCATTATGAAAAATTAACATATAAACGTATTTTTAAATTAAAAACAAAAACAAAACTCATTATGTGCTTGCTTATAAACAACCCCAAGGATAAAATTAAACCAGTTGAATAAAAGATGAAAAGCATACATGGAATAATGATATAATAATAAGTACAAATATGCAAACTATGTCCCGTCACAGTGTTTTAGATACCCGTATTTAATTATATACAATTATGATTCTGGAAATGGGAGACCCCTCGAAATCAACAAAAAAACTACTCGGTTTTATTGATAGATAGAACAGCAGCTCTCATCCCAAGCGGTGCTAAAACCCTAACACTGAAAAATATTCTAAAGTACCTAAATGCATGGCATTTGGCACTTTGGTAATGAAAACGATAAAGACCGATCTTCGTTTAAATATTATATATATAAAACTTTATAGCACCAAATACTCCTTACTTTTACTTGAACTTGCACAAAAGCGGTATCCTTGTCATTTATCCCTAATATTCACTGGTATATTTCATAGCACAGTGTAGGAGTATATACACCACCTTTACAAACATTTCAAGAAATCTATGTTATTTTGCCAATCTGACTTCCTGCCGCATTGACAGTGTAAACAATAGATTAAATAGGTCTCCAATAAACATTGGTTAATTTTTAGGTACGTGTTTACATTCCTCCCAGTTCATCTGAGATATATCGTATTTTGAAAGACATTAAATCCCAAGTTCTTTCAGTTTAACACAATCAATTAAGTCTGTCGATATGAAATAACACACTGTGACATTACAAAAGCTTTCCATAGATTCAACAACCCTGAAGCAGGGATTTGCTTACGTTTTGTCTGAAACGATCGAACTACTCCCGAGGAGCGTCACCTGAAAGTACTGAATAGTCAGACGGCGTTTTGATTTTTTCCTTTTATAAAAAACATACAAAAGAAATGCACTGTAACGAAAACAAGTACTTTCTGTATTTATTTACGATGGCTTTTTATTTTTTTCAGAGAAGGTGTGTTCTTTATTGGAATATATCCAATAAAGAAAAGTACATATCGTGCGATCAGTAAAACACAACACTTGTCCAGTACCAATAGTGTACCAATGCATACACTTAATTTAACCGACAGCCCGTTTAATGATTCAATGAAGACCAAGTCCACCATGTTAATACTTCATTTAACCATGTGATTATTGAAGATAATGATAGTACATGTATAGACATTATTACATTTGTTTAAATAGTAAAACAACTACGATGAACAAACTTTAAAAAAATCACATGAAAACTAATAATAATATTTAAATATACAGAGGGATTGAGTGCATGATATTGGTGTAAAAATGTGCATTTGTAAGTTACCAGTAATATCCATAGCATACAAATGTATATTTGATTTTGGTATTTGCGAATTCCAGTTTTCTGTTTACTTGTGAGACAGTAACGAAAAGGTGGCCAGACAATATAATTTTGTATTCAACTGAAATAAGTTCGGATATATGACATTTCATACATTAAGATAAGAGATAAAACTTTGATAAAATTTTGTTTTTATACAAACAATAGTTTTTTGTTCAGAATGATTTGTGATTGTAAACACATACACTATTACATAAATAATTTAAACACAAATTAACAGCTTCCCAGTACAGTTATTTGATGCCACATTGTGACTAAACTTCCCTAAAAAGTGAAATTTAGTTTTGGTAATTCATATATTTAAAATCGAGTAACATATATCGTTGGATCCTTTCTGCGATTAGTACAAGTCATCGAAAATGTCTTCATACGAAATAGTTTTTACTGGAAAAGGCGGTGCTTAATACAAAAGGCGAGGCGTTTTGATGGTGCGCGAGGCGTTTTTACAGTGCGGGAGGCGTTTTTACGGTGCGCGAGGCGATTTTACTGTGCGCGAGGCATTCTGACGATGCGCGAAGCGTTTTGACGGTGTTCAAAGCCTCTGTATTCTTGACTATGAAAGAAACAAATACATCAGGCGTACACGAACATTTACTCAAGGATAACTTATACGAGCAGTATGCCGATGTTGAGGAATTGATTCTAAAAGTTAGCAATAGTCTAAAACTCTGTAAATAATCCTTTGTGGTGTTAAATGAGATTTAATCACCTTGGGCTTAATAGAATTAGTTACAAATTAATACACAATAAAATTTATGATTTGAATAATTAAATATCGTTCATGGACTACATGCGTGTAGGTCTTGAAACAGTCCGTTTCGGGACGCTTGTTTCTTTGTTATTTTGCGTGCGTTTCGGGACGCTTGTTTCTTTGTTATTTTGCGTGCGTTTCGGGACGCTTGTTTCTTTGTTATTTGGCGTGCGTTTCGGGACGCTTGTATCTTTGTTATTTGGCGTGCGTTTCGGGACGCTTGTTCCTTTGTTATTTGGCGCGCGTTTCGGGACGCTTGTTTCTTTGTTATTTGGCGTGCTTACTTACTGTATAGCCAAATAGCGTTATGTGCCATTGTGCATTGGCAATATCGCATGAACCCTGAAGTCGCTCTCGCCTCTTTAGATTGTTTTCGTACACCTATTTTAAGTACAATTTTATAACTAAAGGGTTTTTTCTCTGTGACGTCGTTATTTGAAAAAACCCTATTATGGCGGCTCGCATACCTTAAAACCTTAAAAGAGAAAAATAACATTTTTTAATGCCCTTTCGTGCATTATTTCAAACAACTTGCACGGAATGGCCGATACTCCAAAAATAGCCCATAGAGCTTCTCTGACGTATAGGTATTTCAAGTCCATGGTGGGATTCAAACCTACAACGATAAATGAAGTTAATATTGTATTTAAAGCATACCCGCCAAAATCTCGTTAATCACTGTAAAGTGTGTACGGATGTATATTGTATGTTTTATGGAATATCGGTTTATTATCAGTGACTGACGGGTTGTCTTTAAGGGTAGAGGCATCAGAATTGCAGCCACCCTTTAACCCTACGTGATCGTGAGTCTATGCATCTCTTAGCTCTAGCAGGTGACTGGCGGTTTTGATCCTTGATGTTGCTTTAAATTTGTACCTACCGAGGTTAGCCAAAATCATCTTTCCTGCTTCGGCGCCATATAAACTAAATTGTGTTAGTGTGACGTAAATCCAAACAAAACCAAAAACGGTTTATTATGTAATGCACATTACATACATGTATATTTAATAACACTTAACAGGGAATTGTACGGGGACCTATTTTATCAAACGGGAAGTAATTGATCTTAGTAGCAACTATATCTTGTAGATATACCTGCAGTTATCAATTCAAGCGGTCATGAATATTAATGAAAAGCGTAAT